AGATTAAAGCTCTGAGATTTATCCTCTTGATATAGGATGTGTATGATGTTCTCTCTTGTCTGATCCCCTTCCTGCCCTGTTTCTGTCTGTCTCCTCTTTGGCTCTTGGGTTTGTCTCCGCCACAGGCCTCCAAGTAGCCATGGAGATGCAGAAGAAGATCACAGACAGGAGAGAGCAGATCGACTCTCTGCAGGGCAAAATCCAACATCTAGAGGAGGCTATGGAGAAGCTGCACCAGGTGAAAACTTTGTTTGTGTGCATTAATCAAGGAACATTTAAACAAATTTGACAGGAATAGTTTATGTTCTGATTACTTTTCATACTAACTTGAAATGTAACTTTATCTTTTGTATTTCTGTTCTTCTACAACTTGTAAATTATAATTTTGCACCAGACATTCCACAACGGTAGACAAGGTATCTCCACTGTTGATTAGTCAGCCATGTTGATCCTCAGTTCCATTGTTCAATGAAATTAAAAGAAGATTATTTTGTCCTTGTACACTTCCCCCACTTGTAAAAATGAATCAGTAGTTAACAGGTGATTTGGAAACAGAGTCGCTGTAATTAATCTTGTCTCCTTCTTTAGTCACATGCTGAGTTTTTCTGCTCTGGCAACTTTACCCAATATTTTAATAGTTTTAAAAGCAACATAGTGTAAGCAAGTTGTAGTAGCCACTTTGAATAGTATTTGAACGGTTTTGTTGTACTTTTTACGACTGCCTTATTTGTAACCCAGGATGTGATGAAGTCAAAGCTACTTCCCACATTATGTAAAATGGATATACTTTCTAACCTGGCCAGTTTAAAAATATATAGACTCATACATTTTCACCTATCAACACCATCCTGTCCATGTCCTATCCAGGAGAAGCGCCAACGGGGCCTGCAGCACCAGCACCAGCTCCAGGAGCTAACCTTCATCAGGGAGGAGAAGAGACAACTCCGCAGTGAGATGGAGGCCCTTTGCTCTAAAGACAAGCAGTTGAAGGAACGGATCAGCCAGCTGGAGGCAATCCTCCACAAGGTAGGGCCCATTTACGCCTTAAACTATTAATTATATTATCACCAAATGATGCCTACATTTCAGAACTGCCTGAATAAGATGGTGAAAGACTGTAATTTTTAGAGAGTTTAGAGCCAAAACAGTTGACAGCAGAGGAAACCCATGGCATTTTTCAACTCTCATAGGGAGTAAAAATTTGTACCAAAATAAATTCTGTATTTAAAAACAACCTATAAAAAGAACTTGATATATAATGGAATAACTTGTTTAATACTGAGAATTACTCCTACCCTTCTCCCTCTGTAACGAATCAAAAATTCAAGTTGATATACTTTTTCTAAATAAGAGCCTTATCATTCCTTTTCTGTTTTTGTTTCATGTGTTCTGTATCTCCTCTCTGGAAGATGTCAGAGAGCTTTGCAGACTGTCAAGACTTCATCCAGCTGCAGGAGCAGGAGTTTTTCCGCCTAAAACTCCAACATGCTCTGGACCTGAAGGTAGAACTGATTTCATACAACAAGTTTTTTTTTTATAAGTAGGGGAAAAAAAGCTTATCCACCAAATATACAATGCGTGTTGATTCCCTTATTTCATATACATGCAGTGCAGTCAGCTTGTTTTGTCTTCATCTTGAATTCCTGATCGTAATGTAACTGGCTTAATCTCATCAAACCAATTAAGTGACTTCAATTTTAAAAAGAATTAAGCACAAACGTTGAGCTAAAATTAATTTGAACTCTTCTGCAGGAGCTACAAGGTCAAAATTTAACAGCTCCATCCGACCTGGACTCCCCGTCCCCATCTGCACTCCCCGCCCCACCTTCCTCCCAGCACGCCTCAAACACTCACATAACGGTAAAGTCAGCATTTCTCTGTGTCTATCTCCTACAGACTGAGCCAATGAACCACATGTGTGTATCATTGTTTATTTGGCTGCACAGGCCCGAGCTCAGCACATCTGCTCGGCCTTTAAATCAAAAACATATTCATCATTACATTCCTGTGGCAAGAAGAGAAACCTGACTGTTAATCATTTCCCCACAGCAGAAACACACAGTTAGGTTGTCTTATATGGTTAATGCTTTAACATAAAAAAGATTACTGACTGTTTACTGTCACAAGTAAATTATTTTTCATTATTTCCTGGTGTCTTTGTTGCAATGCCAGCTAATCAGAACAGAACATACCCCAGCAAGCATTGAGACTTCCTATGTTTCTCCTGCTCAAAACAGCAGAAGGAGAGCTCTGTCAAGGAGTCGAGGTCTCTCGTCAAAGAGGTCCGAGGTGTGATTTCGGGGAACCACAGACCACACACAGAAAACACTGTGGCCCGCAGCAGCTTCTTCAGGAGGAGGTCTGCACCAGAGAGAGAGCACCGAGCCACATCGTACGTTCCCACACACTTGCAGGGATTAGCTGGGTTCTTAGGCTAGCTCAGGTCACATCTGAAAATCATGTGATGTTACAGAGTGAGCAGGAAGTCCCCGAGGAGAGTGGTGGTGGAGGGTCTATCCATGACTGCTTTCATTCACTACAATGTTTCTAACGGCTTTCTCTATGAAATTCTATTAAGAGATAGAAAACTGTGTAACTTCTTAACTGTATGTTTTAATATTCCCCTGCCACCTACAGCAGTACCGACAAGAACGAAGAAATAAAAGCTGCTTTGAGATGGAGAAGAAAAACCTGTGGCAGGTAGGAAGTGAACCCAAACCTAACCCAGCTAATGTTTTTGTTTGAATCCTTGAACATGACTTTCCTTCTTAAAGCCGGTGAGTTGATCACATCATTGTCCCACGTGAGCCTTTTACCCCTCATGCAACATGCAAGGCTCTGCTGATTAACTGTTTTGTGATGTTATGTAAAGCATGTCTTTGCAAACACTCTCTGTACACAGCGAGGCACATGTCCTGAAGACGGCTGAACTGAATGAGAATAAGATCAACAGCAAACCCTTCATTGAGAGTGAGTTTTCACAGCTAAAGACAGAATGATCATTTCCTGTTACTCATTTTCTAAAGGAAGGGTTCACCTGCCAGACATCATCACAGCTGAAACAACTCTTTGATAAAGGGATACGCCAAACAAAAGAAAAATTACCTTTTTAAAAGTCTGTTTTATTTTAGACTTGACATTACAAATTACAAAATACACAAAGTAAAAATACCAGAATTACCCAAGCTGCTTTTTTCATCAGGCTGAGGTGCTGAAAACACTACCTTAAATATCTCTGCTGCAGCATTAAATAGAACCAGAAAACTTGTAACAGCAAATGGTGAATCTTTGCAAATGTCTATATTTATTTGCTTAACATGAACATTTTGACTAGGCTGTGCTGTTATGAGTCCAGCGACTGCAGGGGGGGTACATTTGCACCCAACAGGGCCGCAGGTCACCAGTCCACTCTCTCCTGACCTCTGATCCAAACAGCCAACAGCGACTAACACGACGCGACACGGAACAACAGACCATAGACTGGCTCTTCTTGTCGGTACGTTTTTAACATTGTACATCATGTATACACAGCCAGTCTAATAGTGTGTTAGGATAACACGACTAAAACATATTCCATGCACAGTGATCAGCAGTCACCTTAAGTAAAGACAGATGTTAAAACAGGCTGAGTCATTTGTGGGCTTTTTTATTTTAAATATTGCCTCTGGATGACTGCTTCATATTTGATATAAACTGAGAGAAAAATCTGAGTAATGTTCAGTCATCAGTCAAACACTTACAGATTAGAAAGACGACCAGTTTGTATGGATTGATACTAATCATTTCATCAACTGTGGCCGGCAAGAAATGCAATTGCATATAAGTTTAATGCAACAAATTCACTTATTTCTATAATGTTGTGTAAATTGTATCGACTGACCGTTTCCTCTTCTTTTTTTTTTTTTTGTCTTTCAGAAAGCTCCAGGCAAGATTTTCCCCCCAAATGCTCCCCAGATCAGGTTGTCAAAGAAAGGTTCATACATCAACAATCAGGTCTACTAGGTGTTTCAGGTCTTATTTATCTAGAATAAAGTTGTTTTTTTTTCCATGAGAGTGTTTGAGTTGTCTTTTATTAGAAAGAATCCATTACCGGTAAGTATTCCATTCAAAACGCAAATGAGGAGAAACAGTTTGTAATAATTACGCTTACACTCAGTGCTGAATCATCCATTGTTCCTTTATTTGACAAAAAAAAGCACATACTCAGTTCTATTGAAATTCCTCCTCCTCTTAATGTACTCATTCTGTCAGCAAGTTCCACGTGTTTATTTAAGGAAACGGGACATGGATTGTCATGAGGTTTTGTAACAGATGGTAGTCATGATCGTATCACTTGGTTGGTTATCAAAGCCCAGCCCCTTAAATAAGGTTACCTTGTTGCAGCGGTTCTTATGTGTTGCTTTTCCTCCAAGCTGTGGGATTCAGTTTCCAGCAGCTCATTAATGGATAGTTTCCTTATCTTTGAGGACTTAGGCCTCTGTGAACTTTACTCTTTTGAACTGTCTGACCTGTTTATGGATATGACAGGACTGTTAGCAATTTCTTGGGAAATTTAGTAATGAGTCTTGAAGACCACTGTTGCTCACTCTTGCAGATTCAGTAACATTGATCTCATCTTCCAGTCAATGCTCTTGTATTATCATTTTGATTTCAACTTTTTATCTTTAGGTAAAAAAAAACAACTTTTCAATTAGCAGCAAACAAATTTCCCTGTGGGGACAATAAAGATACCATTGAGCTTAAACTTCTTTATCTATTCTTTATTTATTAAATTACTTTCTAGTTTCATGTCCTCATGGATGCATTGAAGATAATTCTTATCCTTTGTTGATACCATTCCCTTTCTTTTTTGTCTATTAGATTTTCTGGGTCTTGGTTCGTATTCATGTGGGCTGCTTTGAAATTATCGGGATTGTAGATGAAGTCATTATTCATTTGGCTGTTTTCATAAATCAGGTAATTAAGATTTAAAGTAACTTAGATTATACAATACTATTAAGATTTAAAGTAACTTAGATTATACAATACTAACAATCCAGCATAATTGTTTTCTATTTGAGAATGCTCCTCATTGTTCTTTCTTACTTGGCTCTCGACAGCTTTCTCCATTTTCCTCTGTCGTATTGTGTCCTGTGGGCGTAGGAAGTCCAGAAGCGTCATTTACGCTCATGTCTGGGTCTAAAATTGATGCCACCTTAAAAAATAACTGGAGAGAAACACAAAGAATTATATAATTATGTTAGCATCAAACTTAGTTCTGCTTCATTCAGGCCTTGTTAAATTGTCAGCCTACCCCTACCTAGTTTTAGATAAAGCCTCATTCCTCTGCCACATTTCAGCTTTGTAATGCAGACTGCTGTTGTCTACTCTTACCTCTGGGGTCATGTGATCCTTGTAGTGTGGGAACGTTGTTAGAGGATGCCGTGTTAGCTTTTCCTCCAAAGCAGCGACATATTCTCTGCGGATCTGCTTTTGGATTGTCTGCTTTGAGAAGCAGGCATGCTCTTTAGATACGCTCTTTCTAGGCTTCTGATTGGATTTTTGGTTTTGGGTGCCATGAAAAATAACAGGCGAGAAACCTCTCTGGGCCCCTGACAAAACTGCTGAGCCTTCACTGAAGTCATCAAGGTTCATGTTTACAAAACTGATGACTGAAGAAACCTTGTTCGCTGGCGGTTTAAGAAACTTAGTCGGCAGCCTCTCCTTGTACCTGAGGATGAAGAAAAAATATTCATTTCAGTTTCACATTCTTTAAATATGAAAAAGGGCTTTAAACTGTTTGAATACTATAAAAGATAAGGTTAACTAAAGCTGTGGAACAATGATTTAGTATTTTGACTGACGTAATACAAGCAATACCAGAGTGTGATAATAAGGGTATAACTCACAAGTGTCATCATGAAACCATCGACAGTGATTCTTTAGACATATCATCAATAATGGGATTTAAAATGCACACACTATCACAAAGACTGTGTTCTTCAACAGATGAATTAGCTACACATTGTTATTCATTCAGTGACTGAGAGAGTTTTGCTAACTCAAGTAGTGTCTCTGTTCAAACCACACGCCCGTGGTCATGCTTCACTTCATCTTTTTATATCCTCCTTTAAGTTTCGCCAGCTGGACACTCAGCCTGCACATTTTTAAAGCCTGGCTGATAGCACAGAAACCTCTTGAGACAGGGCAAAGTAACAGCACTAGACTGAGATTGTAGGAACTTTTCACCCTTTGGTTGCTTATGTTGTTGCAACCCTAACACCAGTATATTTCTGGAAATGTTAAAAGTAAATTAATAAGAGTTTTGGGTTCACTTTAAAGGCACTATTCACTTTTTTAATCTATTAGGGTTTACGATTGATTTGACAGAAATTTGAAAACTATAGCAGACATTGTTGTTCAGCTGATATTAGTTAAATCTTTATTGAAGATTTATAAACTCTGAACAATCCTACTTGAGTCATCGCAATGCATTTTAAAATACTTCTGGTTACAAACTTGAGCCACGCCTTGAAACATTTGTTGTTTGTCTTCTTTGCTGGTGTGATAGCAGAAGAGTTACTTTAGGGAGGAATAGCTTACACACAATGAAGTCTAGATTTTAAATAGTTGTCCTTAAGCCTTCTTTGCAGTGATGCATTTAGTGAAAATGTGTACATTGATTTCAAAATTGCAAATGTTTCAGTCCATTTTTAACTTTCTATACAATTGCTCACAGTGTAATTGTGTCTAATGTATTTATTATTCTAGTCTGTTTGACTGCTTGTTGGCTGACAAAGTTATTATAATTATTGGAGCATTCAGCACTCAAAGGAATTTTAGATTTTTAATCAAGGTAGGTTTTCTGCAGGATCCTCCTGCATTTCTTTTCAAAACAGAAATACATCAGATACTGTAGGTCGCAGCAGTGCTCATTTTAAAAGCAGTGTGTGTTTTATCTTATCTATTCTTGTCTCCTCCACTTCCTCCTCCTCCTCTGAATTCTGAGTATTTCTCTCTCCTCGATTGCCCTGACCTCTGACTGGTTTGGTTAAGGTGAACAAACAATAAAGCTTAATAAAGTTAAAGATTGACATAAAAGTCATACAAGTTAAATACAGTAAATCCCAACAGTCCTGAGGGGTTTTTGTCAAGTCAGTTTTTTTATGACTGATACCAGATGCTTTGTAGGCCATATTATTTTATACTGTTACTCAACTTTTTTCAGAGGTAAACAATGCTTTTTACTACACAAATAGGCTAGACTGGCCCTTTTCACGTTATTGTAATATACTTAATATAAGCAATACACTTTAGCCTACAGCAAGTGATGCCTTAATAAATAAGAAATTGAATGTGAAATTGTAGGGATTTGGTTCAAATAGGCCAAATGCCTACTAAACTACTTTTTACAAAGTTCAGAGTGAACAACATGCATGTTATTTTAAAGAGGTAACTCGATGTAAACAACAACAAGCATATGTCAGATAAATGTGTGGAATAAAAAGTGCAATATTTAGCACAGAAACACTTTATAGCCTACTTACACTGGAGCAAGTAACCAGGTGTCATCGGCTGCCACACTGCAGCATGTAGTCTAAGCTCATTTGTAATGACCATCCCTATGTGGCCTTTAAAATGTAGCCAGAGAACCATGGGGTATTTATTTTTAAGTAAAACCTTCAAATACCTCGCCCAATACCAGAGACACGACTGCTAATAACATCTTCTGCTTAAGACTTTAAACATAGCCTAACAGGCGCTAAAATGTCACTTACCAAGGGAAAAGAGGGCGCGTTTTATTTATATCCATTCCTTATTGCCAGATTGTACAGGACATTTCATCAGGTTTCTTTCTAAAACAAATCAGAAAAGTGGTTGATTTCGTTAAATAAAATTACATGTGCAATGGTTGACGCTCGAGCCGTGTGTTAGGTGGTAACCATGACAACAGTAATAACTCTGCATAGAGAGAGCAACTTGTGGGGGCCTTTTGTTCACCGCGATGATATGTAGATATGTGTGGACTGCAGGCAAGGCTATAAGGAGCTACTGAAGATGAATGGTACAGAAAATGTAAGTGGTGATATTTGGTTACCTCCAAGTGCATTTATAAGTGTACAGCTGTTGTCTTCCATGACATGTTGTCTGTAAAAAAAAAAAATCTCTAGAGGTCTACATAAACTTCATACGTAGGCTAGGCATGTAGTTTGGGTTTGGTTTTCTCTTCCTACAGTGTAAGTGCACAAGTTAGAGGTTACCTTTTCAAAGTCATAGTTAGAAAAGTGAGTTTAAATTCCTATGTGTTCCCTCTTACTGAAACGGTATGTGAGCACTAGGGGGCTCTCCTTGTTAGAAAATGTGCAGCTTAGATGTGCAGCACTGATCATAACAACCTTGCATTAATGGAGTAAAGAACTTGAAAGTAGACGTGTAGGCCTATAATGTGCATGATAATTGATTAGATGACTGGATTTTTTTAATGCACAATTTTAATCTGAAAAGTACCAAAAGAGTGGAAAAAACAGACAACTTTTTGCCCAGGACTTACAATAAATGAAAAACATGTTTAATCATGTTTATCTTTACATCTAAATACTTCCATAACTAAAACTCAACACTGAGCTAACCATAAGGAAGTATGTGATTAAAAAATAAAGTTTCTGTGGGTGACATCCCTTCCTGGGGCGTGGCACACCATATTCAACAAGCTCGCAGTGAACCAGCGATGGAAAGGCATAGCATTTTGAGATGATGTTAAGGTCTTAAAAAGTAAAAAAAAAAAAAAAAAACAGATGGATAGCTTTTCATTTATATATATATATTGTATGGAATATAATGATGAATCAAAATAAGACAAAATGTAATTTATTTATTTTTTGGCAATTTTGACACTGCCCCAGTTTACCAATACTCTATTGGCAAAGTGGGACAGCCATTCAAGTCATTTTAATTGGGAAATGTAGTTCCTTTTTAACATATCCTCATAAAATTAGCCAGCTAGCTAGGTGTTTAACCAAGTATTTACTGAAATTTTGATTTACTTTAATGCTAATTGCTTACTGCTAACATGCAAAAGTAGCATACAGATATAAAAATGAATAGCTATAATTAACTTAGTCAATTTACCAACTTCAGGGTGACATAATAATGCTTACTATGATGTTTTTTCAGAATCCAATGGTAGAAATGAGAAGGGCAAGGAGGCAGAAAAGAAAAGTGATAAATAAATAAAAAGAAAAGAAAATGCCAGGATGCCATGGTTGTTTCGATAAGTGACTTAGGCTATCAAACACAGCAACATTAATTTTGACTCAAGCTTTTCCGCTGGTTTGTCCTATCAAACTTAACGTTGAATTTGTTGTTCATTTGGACCCTGGCTTGGTCTACATGTTTTCTCACTTTTCTACATTTCTTTCTTGACACCAGATGTTTATGTTCACCATAGGCGGGTGTATGACTGTTTGCTGCCTATGTTTGCTATTCAATTTAGCATGTGTAATTAATGATCTATGAGATTTTTAAGATTAAGATTTACTTTTATTGATCCCCGCAAGGGGAAATTCTGTTTTAACACTCTGTTAATCATACAACACACACATAGGCTGAGATATACACAAACAGGATCTATGGACATGCACTAATGGAGAGATGTCAGAGTGACGGATCTGCCCACAGTGGGCGCTCCTGAGCTGGTGGTGGGGAGGGGGGTTTGGTGCCTTGCTCAAGGGCACTTCGGCAGTGCTCAGGAAGTGATCTGGCACCTCTCCAGCTACCAGACCAACTTCCATTTTTGGTCTACACCGGGACCAGCGACCCTCCCCAACCCAAGTCCCTACAGACTGAGCTACTGCCGCCCTTTTATGAAGGTTCCTTAATTACATTTTTAAATTAAATTATTTCAAAAGTGATAATTGTTGTTATTCATATTGTTATTGTGTTTTTAATTGAAAAAACAGAATGTGTCCCAGTTTACCAATAATAGGTGCCCCACTTTGCCAGTTGTCTGAGGGAAATTTTTGTATAGGGTCAATATTTGTTTGAGAAAGAGCCATCTGTCCACTGTTTAATATTTATCTATGTTTTCATCTCTATAGTATAGTAGAGCTCTTAAGCTGTTTAGAATATTATAATATAGGATAGGATAATACTTTATTGATCCCCAGAGGGGAAATTTGGGCGCTGCAGCAGCACAGACAAGAAAGCTCAAAATACACATTAAACAGAATAGATAATATGAGGGGATTTGGCAAATAAATCATAATTAAAATCGACACAGAAGGCAAAATTTCAGAACGTGTATTCACCGTAATTAATTATATTCCAGTACTGCTTATGTACCTTTAATTATGCTAGCTGCTACTGTGATACTTTTTCTTACCGTCCGTGCTTTACCTGAGGTGATTTTTGCTTCTCGTATAGCGTGCACTTTCCTAAGTTTACTGTTATCATGTGAGAGATTCTGGAACATTTCTGGACAGTGACTCCTGCATAGAAAAGTGAATGTTGTTGACTGGATTGAATCACATGTCGTTCCCCTCAGGGCTGATAAATTGGCTAATTAGCCTGGGTTCAGGTCCCCAATCTCTCCTGCTGTTTAAACAACAGGGGAATCACTGCAGGGACAGAGGCACTACTGTTTCCCCTCTTTCAACACTGACGAGCCCTATTAATGGAAACAAACTAACTTAGTTAACAGTTTGAATGCAGTCAGTGAACTGTCTA